TAGAAAGGATTATTTTAAAACAAGCTTGAGTAGAAAGGGAAAGATTAAACTACAACACTAAATGAAGAGCTGGGGATTATTTTACCTGCATCAAATATTAGGCAGTTACTCACGTTCCCCCGCCCCACACCTCCTCCCAACCTCTTTTTTTTTTCTATTACAAATAACGGTTTTTAGCAAAAGCAGTGGCTTGATACAGATATGACAGTATTTTGACACTGCATTGAATTTAGAAATCTAGTTTTAAATTATGGTGCACATAAGCTCAACGTTTTATGATTTGCTACTGGAATAAATGCCTTGTGTGTTTAGCAGCAAATTGAAGCCCTGCCCTAACCTGTCCTGAAGAGCCACAAACTTGGCCATGTGCACAGAAAAGAGTTTTACACAGTTTCTAGACTAAGCATAAAAGGATGTATTATGTGCTAGTTTCAGTTAGTGATTGGCATGTGTCCAGCAAGCAAGCTGCTGGGGAAAATCAGATGTTACAAATCTACTTTCTCTTTATCACTGGTTACTTAAAACTAATCAATTTGGTGATTTCAATAAATTGGACCCTTGAGTATGCCATGACCACTCCTTTACTGATGTGTCATGCTGTTGTTGACCCGAGTACTGAGTGACCAGGGGTTTGAGCCTCCACCTTGGCAGCATCTTCAGCAAAGGAGGTGCTTGGCCATTGACTAGAGCAGGGCACCACAGCTAGGCAGTGGGAAGAAGTGGCGGCAGCAGTAGCCAGGTCCTAGTGTCAGTCCATCTTTGACTCAAGCTGGAAAGATGCCTGCCTGCCTCTGGAAAACTTTGTTGATTACTGGGCTATGGATTTGGGAGGTACTAAGAAAGCAAAATACCCTGCAGATGCTCATTGTTTCCAGTGGTATGTTTTAGTAGGGGGTGTTCTGGGTCTATTTCCTGTAAGTAAGAACAGGATAAACTAATCCAGTTCAGGGAAGCACATCCAATTATGCTGTATCTTTGTATGGAGATTTACCAGTATTTTGTTTCCTCTAAGAATAGAGCGTGACGTAGTGGGGTTTTGCTTTTGTGTATGGCTTGTAGTTACTGAGAGCTAAGCCTGTGCTCGAAGAGCTGAGCAGGACGGCATGATTCAGGCCTTGCCAGAACCAGTGTTTATTTTGGGGGAGGGCAGAGGTCCTGGCTTCCACTATTTTAACTAAGTTCAGCAGCTTCTGGGAAGGCAAGACAGAACTCAACTTGCTGAGTACGGGGCCCTCTGCTTCCCTTTTCATACCTTAATGATACATAATGACTTCCTAAGGTAACACCTCTTCCTTTGGCTGCCTTCTAAAGATATTTCTTGGCCTGAAGCAGGCATAACTGATTTACATGACAATTACCTGATAATTCCATCCAGGAGCTGTCTGAGATTCTTGACTACAATGTAATTTGCTTTTACTTTTGGCAGATATGCACTTGCCAGTAAGCCAGTGGCCAAGGCTTGGGTTAACAGTGGAAATGCTGACATGGCTGATATATTATGACAGGTACTTTCCATCTGTGATAACTAAAGCTGATCATCTTTGTTTATTCCTCCACTTGAGTGGAGAACAGTAAATATGATCAGCATTGCTTCTTGACATCAGTAGCTGGAGCTGGACCGAGCACTTTTGGGTACTGGCTTGCACTTAAAGAATGGAAATTCAGATTGTGTGGGGGGAGGGAGGGGGTGGATTTAGATTTAAGTGTTCTAATAAAAAAAGTTCTGTCCAGGTCACTAACGGAAGGATATACAACCTAAAAGACTTCCATCAATCCCTTTAGATTGCCCACTGATTATAAAGTGGAAATCTGATCAGACTAATGCCTGTAAAATGGTACCATCTTCCTTTAGGACTTGAAGAACATGTTCAATCTGCTAGTTTCAGCGTGGAAAGGGAACTTTAGCGTGATTAGTCGAGCCAAACCAACTGAGTCTTGTACCTCAGTGCATTGTGAGCAGAATTGTTAGCTTAATTCCGGCTGCTACACTTGCTTAGTGATAGCAGTAAAAGACTGAACTTCTATATTGCAGGTTGTTAGTTCTTGCTATTATAAAAACTTTGGAACAAAACTGAGATGAAAAATTTTGACAGGATAAATTATGGCAGTCTAATGTCACTTTTCTGAATAATAGCCTGGATTAACTTAGTGCCTGGTGCCTTTCACCCATCTGCAACAAGATGGGTTATCTGTTGACATGAATTTTTTCCTTTGTGTAATGCCAACAAGATTATTTTGCTATAATCTCATATCTGAGCTGTTTCCAGATTACATTGCTACAGTGAACAAACAGGGTGGTCAGTCACATGATGTGGTTTAGTTAAAATGCCACAGATGTAGTTAAAGTGCCAGATGTTTGTGTTAAAGTGCAAGGAGATGTGGGGAGGGTGGAAGGAAGCCCAGAATGTTTTGGTGATAATTGTTTCATTGGTGTAGCTATCCTAAGGGAGGAGTCTGCTTTCCACCCAAGTAGATAACCGTTGCTGTCTGCATGAACAGATCCAAGATCTCTGCAGTGGGGGTGCAGCCACAGCCCCTCCCACAGTGTGGTGCATGCCACACACCCCTTGCCAGGGTCCTGGATGCCAGTGCAGTGAGCTCTTAGAGCTCACCAACATCTCGGCACAGCTCTTGATCGGAGCTCTGTGAGGTCTATGAGCTCCCTGACTGGTCAATCCCTGTGGGGTCTGTCTGGAGTATCTGCTTTTTGGCGGCTTCGGAGTGCAGGGGTAAGTGCCACAGCTGTTCACCCTTCCCTTCCCTGAAACTGAATTCGGGAGCTGGGAGAAAAGAGGCAATGGCAGCAGTGCTCACCCCCTGGTCTCCAGAGCTGCATGGAAGCAGGGGCTGACGCTGCCACCCCTGCTTTCCCTCTTCCCTGTCAGCAGCAGGAAAAAATTGGAGAGGGGACAAGCAGTGGTACTCAGTGTCTGCTTTCGAGCAGCAGCTGGTGGGCTCAGCCTGTGCCAGCCAGCTGGTGGGCTCGGAGCTCGTGGCACATGCAGCACTCCAGCAAGAGCTGCGGCTAATGCACGGGTGAGATCAGAGGTCACTGTGCATGTGGCATGTAACCAAGGCAGGGTGCAACCATGTTGCTGCATCCCTTCTGGATCTGCCTCTGTCTGAGTAGCCTCCTGAGGATTTCATTGGGGTCTTGGTTGTTTTGTCTCCTCTTCTCTAACCTCAGAACATGCAAGTCTTGGACTTGGAAACTGCTTTCACTTTATAATGTTACCTTCTATTGTTACAGCCCATACAGAACTATGACAACTTCATAGCTTACAGCAGTGTACAGTGTTGGGGGGGGTGAGAGGAAAGAGTATAGGAAAGAGACGCGGGAATTGGCCATTTTATGGCACTAACACAGGCTGGTCTAGTTCAGGGGTACTCGCTTTTGGCTCTACCAGCCAGATGAATGGCACGGGGCTAGTCTGAAGGCCAGATCAGGCCCCCATGTCAGGGCCAGGCTCCAGGGACCCCTCACCATGCCAGGATTGGGACCTATGCTGTCCTGCATGCACAAGCTAGCATGCAGGACCCTGGCCTGCAGAGTGCCCCACATATCCTTGGGGAGCCTTGCGGGATGTATGTCACGGCATCGGAGCCTGGATATGGGCCAGGGGTTGAGCACTCCTGGTCTAATGAACATAAATCTTACGTTATCTTGAATAATGCATGTCATGGATGATTCATTTGCAGTGTAGCATGACAAATTTGCCATGCTGGTGCGATTGATACTACCCAGCAGTTAGTCACCCAAGACCATACTGGAAGAGGGAGGAGAGGAGGGAAGTTTTGTACCATTTCTGACTCGTATCTCATGTCACATCTGCCATAATGTGTTTTCTTAAAGCCCCAGTTCCTGGATTCATGAGAATCTCTGCTTTCATCTAAAAATAAAAGCAAATGTCTAGCTCTTCTGGGTGCAGAGAACAGCTCAAAAGCGTGATGCAATTCACTGTGAAGGTTACAAAATCAGAAAGTAAATAAAAGAATTCTCAAATATATCTACGCTAACTTATTCTTGGGCACCTGATATTTTTAATACTGGGGTTGGTAATACATCTTGCTTCATCTCCCCGCCTGCCAACACCTTTTTCTTGAGGATCTTTGCAAATGAAAACAAATTGTCCCTCAGCTACCTGGCACAAATCTTCGTTTTACAGATGAGAGAGACTTGAGGCATGGAGTTTGACTGATGTGCCCCAAATCACCTGGAAAATCTTGAGGCAATTGAGACGATGCAGTATACCCAAGTCCGTGTGTTTGGATGGCAGGGTGTGATGAATAATTTCTCTGCAATGTACCCTTTCTATTTTCAATTCTTCCCTAGATTAAAAAAAAAAAAATCATACCTATGTGGAACTCGATGCTCTGTCTTTTCATGTGTGTGTCATGGCATTGGGCAGGAATATAGTTTAATGACCATTTTCCTGAAGAAGCTGCTAAACAGGTTTGACTTGAAGTGACCATTTTAACTTTGAAGTATCATTTTTTTTTTTTTTTTTTTTTTTTTTGCACTGAACAACTTGTTAGCTATATTGGGGGGTAGGCGGGGGAGGGCAAACCTAATGCGCTTCCCTTAGTCAAAATATCAGACCTTATTCTTCCTTGTGTTTTTACTTGTAGGTAATGTTTGAATGCCTCTTGCCATTGGATTAACAGTCTGTGCTGGGTCAAGGAACTTCTTCACGAGAGAGAGCTGAGAGATGGGAACTTCCATAATGCTTGTGTGATCTGAACAATCAGGAATGCGGCACCCTGTTGAGAGCCTCTTACCGAGAAAGGCACATGCACGTTCTTCTTTGAGCAAACTGCAAAATTCAAGGCTTTTCAGACCTCTGACTGCAACGTGGTCCCAAAGAATCTAGTGCTGGTGAACCGTACAGACCTGAGACCTCAGTTCCTTTGCATTTTTTAAAACAGACTACAAATTCAGTCATTCTTCTCCACCTCCAACCAAGTGGGACTTTAGGTTTCTCTGATTTCTTTTGAAGCTGTCAAGATGATCGACTTAGGCTTCCTAACAGAGGAGGAGCAGGAGGCAATAATGAAGGTGCTCCAGCGGGATGCAGAGCTAAAGAGATCAGAAGAGGAGAGGGTCAGGTAAGCAACAGACATTCCCAAAGCACTTGATGCTTGGCTACTGCAAAATACATCTGCCTGCTTGCCTAGTGGCAAGAAAAGAAGAGCTCAAGCTCTGTGGAAAGTTACATTTCTTAGGCCTCTTCTATACTTTGCTTTGTCTAAAGCCTTTAGGATATTTATGCCTAGTATAGGCTGGTACCACTGTTTTAGTCTGATTTTTACAGGCACAGCTTGAGCAAAATACTAGGGAAAAATAACTGTATAATGACTTTACCAATCCAGCATAGATGAGCTGCAAGCATGGTGGCTGAAATCCTTATTGTAGGCCTGCCGTTGGCTCTTTTTGCAATAGGAAAAGTCTTGCATGTTAGCTTTTTCAGTCAGTTGAGGTGCTAAACAAAGATTGATAGAAACGTGGGAGGGGGTAAGTCCAGTGGAAGAGTGTTGGTAAAACTACATCTGCAACTGCTGAGGTAAGATTTGAAGTCCCTCTTTAATTATTTCTAAATGCATGAGGCCTCCTTGGGATTATCTTGCTTTCCATGAGTTGACATTCCTCTTAACATCTGTTCAAATAGTGTTCTTCTCAAAGAACATCTGTCCTGTTCAAATATATAGTGGTTGTTAAATGGATGTCGTACGGGTAGTGCTGCTGTCCTAGTAAAGAGCCTTTCCTGATAGACCCTCCCTGATGGTTCATATTGTGACTTGAAGAAGAGATGTCAGGCTTTTACTCAGCTTGACAACTTGCTTCCCTTTCTTCAACAGACCAGTACTGTTCAGGTGACTGAGGCAGGAGTTACACTGCAAGCCCTTTGGTTGTACATACACCTCTGTAAACAGCAAAAATAGTCAAGTGTCTGAAATGACACTTTTACAGAAAGGAATGTTAAAGCCATTCCAAAAAAACATTCTTAACGTCCTGGCCAGCTGGGGTAATGGCGTGGTTCTTTAAAGAGATCAAAGGGTAAAGTTGGTCTTCATAACACAGAAGGCCTATTGCCTCCAAGTTAGGTGCTGCTTTCACATGCAGTAAGTCAGAATGAGTGCCTTTGTGTCTTAAGAACAGGCAGAGAAATATCATATTTAATCCTGGAGTGGTTTAAAGTGATGCTCATACGCCTGGGTAGGAAAAAAAGGTAGTGTGTTGGGGGTACCCAGGACTGAATGTGTTTGGGGCACCCCAGGGTAGAAGCAGCACCTGGTGAAGGCAGTGATCAGTGGAACAGTGCAAGTGATTCTAAATGTGCTACATGCATTGTCTGTGTCTGCACCATTTTGCATTGGCCACTAGTTGTTCTAGTTCAAGCATACATTTCCATAAATGTGTTGAACTGTAGGCTACAACAGCCTATACTTTAATTAGCTGATGTGTTTCTTTTGTTTTTGTGAAACTAAATTTCCTTTTGGTTTCTCAGAAGCCAGGACAGTGGAAGCTTCCATCTAGAGCTGTCTACCCAGATCCCAACTGGCAACAAATTAAACTCTCCTTTTTTGTATACAACCATCTAGTCTCAGTCTCCTGAACCTCGATTTGTTCTCAGGTGAACTCCACAGCCATGCACGTGCTCCTAGAGATGGCTTTAGAGAAAACGGTATTCTGGGCAAACTTGTCAGCAGCACTGCTTCAGGCAGAGGCATGGGGCACAGTCTGGTGGGGAGGCAGAGCGGCATAGTGCACCAGGTGGGCAGGCAGGCAACACTACTGCTGCCCACACTGGCCGGCCTGGCTCCTCTTAAGCAGTTTCTGGAAGCAGGGGGTGGGCTAGGCACCGTTCCTCCTTCCTGGGGTTGGGGAGAGTGCCGCTGTGAGTGCAAGTTGCTCACATGTATGTGCACAGTGCCCTGGGTGGTTGCTCACGTTGCCCACCCCTAAGGCCAGCTCTGCATGCTTCTGGACAGCTGGGATAGCAAATGCTATGTCAACAGTACATGTTGACAAGAGTCAGTGTGCATGTAATTGAAATCCTAACTTCCTCCACTGCTATATAGAGAATCCTAGGTTTGAAAGAGCGATTACAACAATCCATTCTTTCAATGATCTGCAAATCAAGTGCTCTCAAAGAGACTGCACAGTAGATCCCTGCTGGTAGATCTCCTCTTCCTACTGGTCTGGAGCAGTGAGTGTGCTCTGAAGAGCTGGTCTGTGAGGACAGAAAAGCTGTGACTAGCAGCTTAGTCCATGCTGCTTCTGTCAATCAGCGTGAGCTACCTGCCTGAATTTCTGCTGCGTCTCATGAAATTGAGAGAGACACAGCCAGAAAGCTGAGATCACAAGCATTAGCCTCCCTCCTGCAGCTGAACTGACATTTGTCTCTAGTGTACCCAACCCTAGCAGGGTGTTGGTAGTCATCTACACAACTGCAAATGAACCTGCCTCATTGTTCACCATCATAGTTTGCAGTGCTGGGTGGGTTAAGGACACAGCAGAGAATTCCTTGGCGTTTGCTTCCAAGCAATCACTGGCTCTTCCTTGCTCTTTGTGGTTCAGAATAAATGCAGCGTGGGGCACTGCTAGGGATGGTGACATACAACAGAAATATGGTTCCAGTTGTGGCTTCTTGGTGTCTCCTGTGGCCAAGTGTCTGCCCACTGGCACCAGGCTGTCTGCAACAGCAAAGTGTTGTGGTTGTCTTCACATCAAGATTCCCTGCTGTGGTTATGTGCCCTTTTTTCCCTGGAAGAAGCCCTTGAGTCATACATAGAAGATGCTGTCATGGGTTCTGCATTCATTTGTTTGCTCCCTCTGTAAATTAGGGGAAACTAATGACAGGGGAGTTCTGACATGCTTGTAGATAGATCTGTCTGCAGTCACCACCACTGTACAACATGCCAAACCACATAACATATATCTTGATGTGGTGAAGTTTCTAAGGGCTCTGGGATGGTGTGATAAAAGCAGAAGACTTTGGGTCTCACTCTACCAGTTCCTGAGCACCCTCAGAAGC